TGCAGAGAGCCGCAACCACACCTTGGTTCAGATCGCTCGCTGCCTCCTCAGTCACGCCAACGCACCACGGTCACTCTGGGGATATGCCCTCTTCCATGCGGCACTCCTCTACAATCTTTATCCGCATCCCCACCGGCCCGACACCACACCTACCGCTCTCTGGCTTGGGGTCACGCCTTCCGCCCGCTCTCTACGCGTCCGGGGGTGTACCGCGTATGTGTTGCTAAGCCCCCACACGCGCAGGAAGCAAGGTGGCAAGCTTGGTCCCAAAACCCAGACCTGCATGTACCTGGGGCACAACTCCGACTCCCCAGACTACTTATTCCTCAACCCAATCACCAGACAGCTGATTCGCAGCCGTGATGTCGTCTTCGATGAGACACGCCCATTCCACTCTGCGACCACGGGCGAGCCTCCTCCACCTCCCCCGACGCTTGTTTGGGCAGACTTCGATGCCCCACCTCCGGCCGCTGCCCCTTCTCCGGGGCCTTCTCCGTCCGGCGTGTCTCACCCGGCCTCCCCAGTATCCTCCGCAGCGGCACCTCCTCCTGCTCCGCCTTCCCCGCGCGTCGAGCCCGGCTCACCAGTCTCCTATCGGAGGCGCCCAGTCCCTCCGGTTCCACCGCAGCCGCCTTCGTCTCCGATCTCTAGTCGCACTCGTTCCAAGGGACCGGCTCCGCCTCTCGCCTGGGGACCAGCCGCCTTCTCCATCCGGTGTTTGGTCACCCCGCCTCCTCCTGCCGGGGGTGATGTCCCCTCCATCCGTATTCCCCCCCGTGCACTTCTGGAGGACAGGCATGAGGAGCTGTTTGACCTTCACGCGGTCTGCCAATTTCTCTCTCACATCTTCCCGGACATTACTGACTGCCCTTCCCTCAACTTCACCGAGAACCCGACCATTCCGACTCCTCGCACAAACGAGGAAGCTCTCTCGGGGCCTTATAAGAAGGAGTGGAAGGCAGCAATGGATGTGGAGAACGAGGCGTTCATTCGCAACAACAGCTTTGACGATGTTGTTCCCCCTTCCCGTGTCAACATCGTCGGCGGAAAATGGATGTTCCGAGTCAAACAACTCCCAGGCGAAGCTCCACTGTTCAAGGCACGATACGTGGCGAAGGGTTTCACCCAGAAGGAGTATCTCGACTTCTTCGAAACATTCTCGCCCACGGCCAAGCTCCCGACTGTGCGCGCTCTTCTTGATATAGCCGCTCGCGGCAACTTCGAGATCAAGTCCATGGACGCCTCCTCCGCCTTTCTCCAAGGCCAGCTCAAGGAGGATGTTCACATGGAACGCCCACCGGGGTTTCCTGGCACTTACCCTGCCAACACAGTGTGGAAGCTGAAGCGCCCAGTGTATGGCCTCAAGCAGGCTCCTCGTGAGTGGCACAACAAGGTGAAGGAAGTCCTCCTCGCACTTGACTTCCATCCCTCTGCCTCAGATTCCAGTCTCTTGATACTTGGATGCCCGGATGCTGAGCGCACATCAGAGATTGCATGCCCGGATGCTGAGCGCACTTCAGAGATTGGAGGCGCTCGCACAGCATCCAGCAAGTCCTTGCGTGGTGTCATTGTCCATGCAGCACCAGAGTCCATGACCCACATGTCAAGCGGGTGCAATTCCTCTCCAGCCCTTGCAACAGCTGTGCCACTGTCATCTTTGTCACACACATGGTAGAACTGTCCAGCATTCCTCTCCTCATTTCCCATTCCTTTGTCATCCTTGGAGGTTTCTTCAACAGGATCAGCTACCATGTTGGCACCTCCATGTGGTTGCTTTCCTCCAATCCTCTTTTGCGATTGGTTCCAAGGGGTCCACCAGTCGGGCTTTGTAGAGCAGCGAAACCATGGATGCCCTTCTTCCTTGCAATACCAGCACTCTCCCCTCAAGCGTGGTTCACTGTTGTCATTGTTGGAGTGACCACCTCTTCCTCTTGCACCAGCGCCACCACGCCCCCGCTGGTTCCAGGTCCCGCAACCACCTTGGTTGCAGTAAGAGCGACCGCGATTGCCACGCCCTCGATCCCTCCATGTCCCTTGCATGGCATAGCCGTTGGTGCTGTCATCACCTCCGAGCAGTGTATAGCGACGAAAATCTTCTTCTATAATCTTGGTGCGAATCCACTCCAATGTCCACTGACTTTGGTTTTGTGGCAGGCTGAGTCCGCTTATAAATTGCAGCCAAGACTCGGGCTGAGCATCTTGAGACACTTAGTCTGCTCAGGGTACGTGATGCCAGCAATCGCCAATTTCGCGTAGAGTTCCCTCACCTTGTCCAGTACGGGCTGCACAGGTTCATTCTCGCTCGATCCCAGCGACAAATCTTGTTACGTTCGTCGATGGATCGGAGCCATCAGAATTCATTTTGCGGCGATCGGATGGTCAAGGACGACTCAGGACACCAAAGTGGTTCAGTTCGCAGCGACGCTCATGTGCGGCCCGTCTCTCAAATGGATCTTCAACAATAGTCAGCATCTACAGTGCGAAGCCACGTGGAAACAGTTTCGTAACGGACTACTTACCCGTTTCGAGCCCGTACATTCGACCTACATCACGCAGGAAATTATTCATTGGCACCGACAATTTTCATGTGTGGCGCAGTACACGCAGCAGATGGAGCAGTTTTATGTGCGAATACATGACATTACGGACGGCGAAAAGAAAATCAATCGTACCTGGCGGGACTGAAACCAGATGTGCGACGATAAGTGGCGACAGTGAACTACAGTAACTACCATGACCTAGTCGCTGCCGCTGAACGATTCGACATGTTCCGGAGTCACAACACACAACGCTCGGGTGAACGTGGCCCTCGAAACCATGACCGATATGAGCTCATGGCTTTTCCCTCGACGGCCGACCCTGTCGAGATCGATCGTCTCGACGCACGTTCCCGTTACACCTGGAGCACACCGGAGGCCCGGCGCAATACGTGGCCCAAACAGAAACCACCGCCCATTAGCAACACACACGGGCAATGGCCCACTCAACGTGGGCCGTGAACAGAGCCAGCAATGCAGTGTCATCATGACAGCGATGGCAAACATGCGGCACAAGACGAAAGATGTGCGCCGCAACCGTTTTCGCCACAAACTTCCAGCCGCGCTCGGAATAACTCTCCGGTGAAGCTCGGCGAGCCTTTTGTTGAGCTCGCAAAGGTGCGTACGCCTCACTGGGTTTGTTTGTGGCTTGAGCATCACCGCATGAAACCGAACGCTGACTTGGCAGTGAAATGGAGTCGCGATGTCCCAATGCCAAGGGTCGTTCTCAACATCCGACGGCCAACCCAGGAACAGACTCGAAAACAAATTCCCACAATTGTTGCGACACGAACCTTCAATTCGTAATGTAAGAAATCTTTAGAACACGCCCCTAATATTTGGAACTGAAATGCGACTCCAAACCCTCGCCACATTTCACTGAGAATAAAAGGGAGCAAACCAAACCAGAGAAACTCACTCAACATCTCACCCGCCAACCACCACTCTGGTGCTACACCAGAGAAACTCACTCTCGCTTGAAAGCGCCGAAAATTAACACAGGGTAACTAAGTGAGCAATGGCTCGCCAAAATATGCCACTCAAACCTACCCCGCAAAACATCAAAATGGTAACCTTCGTGCCCGTGCGAAAGGCCCACATGCCCGTGACGATGCCGTGCGAAACCCCTGTGCGTTTTTGTCTACCGGCACCCTGAAAAGTTGTGTTCCTCTGTTCGGCTCAAGGTGTACAACAGAAAAACGCAATGCGATTTCTCCGGCGCGAACGGACACGAAATCGGTCAATGCAGCAGAATGATTGCAGCACGAGCACAATATCAAGCCACGCGCGGCAGCGGCTGCCCTCTAAATTCGGCGAATCATAAGCAAAAAATTGGTTGCCACCAGTGATTGCGGATCTCGCTGGCGGATCGGTCAAGATAAAAAATATCGGAGTCAGTCAAGGCAAAAATCAGCAGTAGCAGAATGACTGGGCGCTGACGAGGAGAAATCATGACTTGAATCTATGCTCCAAGGACCAGATTTCATCAAGGGAAATTGCCGAGGAGCAAAAAACCTCCACGAAACTACACCCGACCGATCTGGGAAACCACGGGAAAGACCCTATTTCACCCGAAAATAAGCTTTCTTCATCCTATAAGGAAGCTTTACCTCATAATGAAACTAAGAGCTCTACAGCTATCAGAAATTTCTTCGAAGGACCCCAATTGTAGTTGGAACTTCTGGAGATTATTCCAGTGCCGGCGAACCTTGGGGGAAAATTAAAAGCGGTCGAAGCCACTCGACCCTTTGTCAGAGTCAACATCCTTTCCTGGAACCAGCCTTCAAAACCACCACGGATCCCACGCAGAGCGGCTACACGGCTGAAGCAACTGAGGGGGAAGCTGGAGGTCCAAAGGAAGCTGCAATGACCTCAAATCCCACCTTCGACGTCGACACCAGTGGCACGGATACATGTCAAACCTACACCAACCAATAGGCCAGGTGTGGATCCGCCCTTCACACACCACTTGCCTATCACATCTGTTGCAGCAATTGCACCATTAGAATCTAATGGATCCATTAGTACCCATAAGTCCTCCACCACTATACCCTTTGACCCTCTTAGTGGAAAGGTTCTCAATTACACAGGGGAGTCCAAACCTCCTCTACTCTCGACAGTAGTATGCAACGGCCGAAGACTAAACGCCTTAGTGGATAGTAGAGCCTCCCATACAGTCTGCTCCGACACCACCATCAAACGTCTCGGCTTCAGCAGCAAACCTTCCCAGTTTACGGCGACAATGGTGGATGGCACGGAGTTACCAGTATGCAGCGAAACGCGGCTACAACTCTACATTGGACAAATACGTTGGGCACCCGTTGCACTAGTTACCCAGTTACAAGGAGTGGACTTGATACTCGGGAGGGATTTCTTGAAGAAGTTCAACCCTACAATCAACTGGCAACAGGGGACGGCCACGTGTACAAATAAAAATCAGCCTATCAAGCTACCAACTTGGGATGACATGGGAGATGTACCAACTATCTCGTTGGTACGATTCTCCAAGGAGCCGAAAAAAGCGGAGCATTGTGACACAGTGTTGGTTACTGAAGCAGATGGCACTGAATTGGAGCTACCTAAAGAACTTCCTAGTGCCATCAAAGGGGTTCTCCAGGAATACAAGGACGTGTTACCCGACGACCTACCGACGGGCGTGCCATTAGCACGTGCACACCAGCACGAGATCGTGGAGGAAACTGGTTCTAAACCAACCTTCCAACTTCCGTACCGCCTCAATCCGGCTGAGCTAGCGGATATGAAGAAGCAGATTGAATACCTGCTGGAGAAGCTGATCCGACCGTCAACATCACCTTTCGGAGCACATGTACTCTTCACACCAAAACCAGATGGATCGTTGCGGATGTGCATCGAATACAGGGCACTCAACAAGCAGACCGTCAAGAATAAATATCATATTCCAAGGATAGACGATCTGCTGGATCAGCTTCGGAGAGCCACTGTTTTTTCCAAACTGGACCTCCGGTCAGGATATTGGCAAATTCGGATGGCGGATAACTCTATCCACAAAACCGCCTTTCGGAGGCACTGTGGCTCCTACGAGTATTTAGTGAGGCTGTGAGGCTAAGATCTATGCAGGTGCCATGGCGGCACAGGAGCTCCGCTGGCTGACCTTCTTGTTTACCGACTTGGGTGAGCGGCCTAGCTCTGCCCCGGTTCTGTACGCTGACAACAGGACCATGATCCTCCTGTGTTAGGAGCCATGACTTGAGGGCAGACCGAAGCACATCCAGATGCGGTACTTCCTCCTGCGTGAGCTGCAGCAGCGTCGCCGGGCTCGTGTAGTACACTTGGCCTCCGGTGCCAACACAGCTGATATCTTTAATAAGGCGCTTGCGCCTAAAGATCATCAGCGGCACTGTGTACAGCTAGGTCTCGTTCCTGTAGCCTCTCACTTGCTAGGACCTTGATTGTGTATAGATCTTTATATATATTACCCAGACTGGCCTTGTGGCCTCTTTTCAGTGGCTGGACTAGTAGTGCCACCCTGGTCTTGCTCTTGCCTTGTCTGTACTTATTTGACTGGTCTTTAGACCCCTACCTCAGAGGCTGAACTAGTAGTGCCACCCTGAGCTGCTTCTCTCTCATCAGGCACTGCCCCTATCCAGTCTAGGGGGTGTGTCAAACATACAAACATTTAGTGTATGTTACAGTAGACTATATAGGGTTGTGTCTTAGGGAGTACAACCCATTAGGCTATATACCCCTGTATGTCCTGTTCTAGTCAACCTTTCTCAGGATCATGCTGGGAGATTACGGTACAGCAAAGATTATACAAGAGAAGCCAATCCAAAGAGTTTCCAAGCATGCTCCAGGAAGCAATGACAGGACGTCAGCCAGAGGCACCACCCCTCCAAGCACCCTAACGCCGTCTCCTTTTCTTTGTTGAGGGACCGGGCGAATCTGTAGAAGCACCCTCTTTTGATTGACTACCAGCCATTGTTTGCCCCTCAGTCACCCTTTTCGCATCCCCCTTCCCCCCCTCGGCGCCCAGCTGGCTCATCTCGGTGGCCCCGTACTGCAGCGGCACATTCGACACGTCCGCCACAGTCTCCTCCTCGCGCAGCCCGCCTGGCGCGGCGGCTGCCTGCTTCACCTCGCGCACCATGGCCAGCAGCTCCTCCTTGTACTTCTCCCGTGCCGCCTCCCGGCGGCGCCGCCGCTCGTCGATCACCTTCTGCACCGCGGGGTCCGACTCGTTCACGGCGGCGCGCGGGTCCGGCGCGTCCAGCGCCGCCTCCTCGCTCAGAATCTCCTCCTCCGCCGCCGCCACCGCCGCCTCTTCTGCCTCCTGCGCCGCCACTGAGGTCTCAGGAGGGGGGAGGCGGAGAAGATGAGTTGGGGGGAAACAGGGAATCAGGCGCTGATGAGTGCTTGCATTTTCCACAGGCCTCTGCAACCTCGCCCACACTCCCCCCTGACGCCCAAACACCTAGCACTTAAACACTCGCTCCCCCACCCAACCTAAGTTGCTAAAAACGCTCTGACAGGCGAGCGTTTTGTGTTTACAAGGTACCGTTTAAGCGCAAAACGCGAAATGCTTGAAAGACGCAAAACGCTCGCCAACATCTTTTTGGGCAACCCACCAGGGGAAAAATAAAAAGAAAATTGTGCGCGACAGTTCGTGATGAGCGAATCCAACCAGAAACTTCGCCACGTCGCGGAATTGATGGGGCGGGGCGGATGACGCGGCTCGCCTTGTGTAGTGACGTAGCCAAGCCCCGAGGCAAGACGGGGCTCGGGCCTTTGCTCACGTGGGCCACATCCCCTCGTCCCTTCATCCATCCCCCATCCCCACATCTCACCATCCCACCATCCCCCATCCCCGACATCCCCAAGTCCCCCAACTCCACATCCCCCCATCCCCTCATCTCCCCATCCCACCATCCCCTCATCCCCGCATCCCTGCTTCCCCTCATCCCCTCACTCTCTCACCCTCTCACCCTCTCACCCCCTCATCCCCTCATCCCCGCATCCCTGCATCCCCTCATCTCCTGACCCGCTCATCCCCTCATCTCCACATCCCCTCCGCATGGCTGCACCATCCAGCCCTCCTCCTTCCGCTTCGCTCCAGCCACACACCAGCATCGGCGTTGCGCGGGCGGATGGACGAGCGGAGCAGGCAAGGGCACCCCTGCGACACTGCACTGCCGCACTGCCGCCATGGCGCCCAGCAGCCAAGGGCGCCGCGAGCCACGCTCTTCCCTCTTCCGTTTCCTCTCTGCCCTCCTCTCTCTTCCCGCCCCGCTCCCCCTCCGCTATCCACTGCGTGCCTTAGAAGGCGTCGGCGGGGGACGAGCGAGACGAGCAGCGGCAAGGGCACCCAGCGGGCCCCCACTCTCATAAGCCCACTGCAGCCCCCCTCCCTCCCCCCCTCCCCGCAGCGCGCACCTGTGAGGGCGTCCGCGGCGGCTTTAGGCGAGCCGTGGACGAGCGAGTCGAGCAGCGACGAGGGCGCGGCGGCGAGCCCCGTGGTGCCGAAGAGGTAGCCCGCGGCGACGAGGGCCAGCGCCGCCAGCACCAGCACCGCCACCTGCGAGGACTGCCCGCCCATGGCCTCTTACGGCGGCCTTGAGCGACAGGAACGAATGAGGGAGTTCACAGCCTGGACGAAACGGCCACCGTGGCGGTGCTATGCGCATCAACGCTCGCACTCTCGACAGTGCCCGAATTAAAAAGTATCCGACAGAAATGCATCCAAATCTTCGAAACAGCAATTTGCCGTAGATTCGCCCAAACCTGACTCAGTCAGCCACATGTTGGGCGATATTCGCTCGTACAGTAGGTTTGCGCAGCCAACAAAACAATAAACCCGTAGGGTCCAGCATGTGACTCGGGGTCAGGGCTAATTGTTTTTCGTTTTTCAAGACCCAGCGGTCTCAGGATTCGCGTCACTGAAGACCCTGAAAATTCAGCATTCCCTGAAGAATCTCTCGTTATTTCAGGAATACTTTGACCTGTCAATCTGAAATTCAGAGTGTTTTTCGGGACTCCCTACATAAAAGCGGAACCTGTGGGCACTTCGAGTACAAGGAGGAAGGACATCGATGGAAGAAACGATGAAGAATGCAGAACACTCACGTGCTGCTGCTGCTGTCCCGCACCACCACACCAAGTTCGAAACTTTCCTTGTCAATCGCGACAGGAATGCGTACAAATTAGAGGGACAGTGCGCAACCTGGCTAAGGTGATATTTAGGTGTTGTGATATGTCTGACAGCCATGCACTTCCGTAGTTGTGGAAGTTCGACGGGTCGCACGGTTGCAATTCCAGCACGGGTAGGTTTCCATGCTAGTCGGATGGCCAGGATAAATTTTCACGCAATCCGGATTGCTCAGGGAGTTCCTTGGAAACGCCCGGAATCAGTCAGGAGGTTTGTGCGTACGAAACCCTCAAAATCAGGCTTTCAGCTGGAAAGACCCGGAATGTACCTGACATTCCGGATGTTTACCCTTGAACAGAGAGCCCTGCTCGGGGTGGCATCAACCCTAAACTCGGAAAATGGCCGCGAGTTTAGGGTTGATGGCATCTTGAATGGTATGTCGGGCCCCTTAGGTTTTATTTGTTGGGTTTCGTAGCAACCTAATAAATTTGATTTCATGTTTTCATGCGCCAATGTAACTACACTTTTCAATTATCTTTTTACTGTATTTTACACTCGTATGCTGCTCTAATACACTCGATAACTACGACGTACAATGGTATAAAAACATACATTGTCGCAATTCTTAGTTTTATGCAAGAATTTGCGCACAAACCTTTCGAAACATCGACAGATTACATAGACCAACCCATCACGCATTCTCTTCCATTCCATTACATATACAAACAACAATAAATACCACACTACTATGACAACACTTGAAACACACGAACTGATAAAATAACACACAAAACAAACAAAACGGAAAATATGTTCACGTGCAATACGTGGTAGTTCATTTGGGGTTGTGCACTGCTTCATCCATTCCATCGTCGATAAATACGGCGGTAGAATAACAGAATCGCACACCAACACCAAGCTTTTGAAGCACCCACATACCATGCACAGCATAGCAGCAAGCAGAGCAGCACACAACAGCCCTGGGGCCTAGTGTCCCTCATCACCCTATCAATTAATCGATGCCCCTAAATCTCCTCGCTCCCAGATACCATCTCCGCCCTCTCTGCCCTCCGCTCCCTTGGCCTCACCCACATAGACAGCCTTTCTAGCCTGTCCAAATCAGTCGGGCAGCTAAATCATCTCAGCTCTCTGAAGCTGGAGTATTCAGATGTTTTTTTTTGTCTTACCCTAGTCACTCAGGTAGTTGAGAAATCTAAAAGAACCGGAGCTGTGCTATTTGCCCGAGCTGAACCCTCTGCCCGCCTCACTGAGGTGGCTGCCGAAGCTGCAGGAGCCAAAGATGATTGACGTGGGGAGGGTGACGGACTGGTGGTGGATCGACTACTACCCGACTGTGCGGTTTGCTAGGATGCACCTCATGCTGCACAGCTGGACCCTCTCTTCTCACCAGGCCCTAAGGGCGAATTCCTACAAAGTAGGATCAGAATCAAGAATGTTCCTGATCCTGCCGTTTTACAACCAGCATATCAAGAGTGAGTGTCGCAAGTGAGTTTCGCAAGTGAGACCGAATGCCTTGCGCGAACCAACGTGTACACCCCTCAAACCAACACAAAACATCGCGCAGACTGCCTAGAATAGACGATGCGTTCCCTTAGTCACGAGCTGGACAGGACTTGGAAATGTGCGCTCCAATCGTGTCGCACGTGAATTTGCATCACCCAGTTGAATGCAGTTTCGAAGTCAGCAGAAGTCGCGTTTTTGTGCCCGAATTTGTGCCCGTCGCGTACCGTTTCGTTTCGCTGCACGTCGTGCGTCGACGCGCTTTTGTCATGCGGCGTTCGCTTCGCGCTCGTTTTTGGCTGTCCAAAATGTGTTGGTAGGGGCAGCCAATCAGAGGCGCCTAAGCGACGCTGAGATGGCTGCCCTCGTTTCAGATGTTGGCGTAATAGACCGGGCAATGGGATCAATAATGGATTTGGCATTCTTGATTCTGATCCTACTTCATAGGAATTCGCCCTAAGATTGGTCTTCGGGAGTTGCTTTATCATTCTTGGGTTAAAATATATATTATCTGTATATAATTGTAGGCTTGGTAGGTGTTACTGGTGTTGTGATAAAATGGTACTTAAGCAATTCAGTAAGTAGTTCCGATAGATATTGTCCAGTTATACTGTACCTAGCATATGTAGAATGACGTCAACAAATAGCGCTCGTCTGGATGAATATGCCAGCAGGCCGTTTCACTCACGCGAACAGTTGCGCCCCTTTCAGTAGCAATTAGAGCGCATAGCGCAAGTAGTTTTGAGCAGGTACATTACCGAACAGGTACCTCTAGCATATATAAGAGTAGCTTGTATGACTTCAATTATTAACTTGTTCTTCAATAAATTATGGTCAACACTTACAAGTTCTAAGACTTCCGCTATCTTAGGGCGAATTCCTATGAAGTAGGATCAGAATCAAGAATGTTTCTTATCCTGCCGTTTTACTACAAGCGGATCAACAATTGTGTAAAGTGATCGCAATTGAATTTCGCTTGCGAACCTGGATACTTCGCACGATCCTACGTGTACACCCCACACTTTCACCACAAAATTCACGTCGACTGCCCAGACTTGACCACGCAAGTTTACTGTACTGTTGCAAACTTCTCGTCATACATAACCAGACTGGTGGGAAGCGTGCGCTCCAATCACGAGCAGAGGAATTCACATACAAATTCGAAGCCAGCAGAAACACAAACGAAATTCGTTTTCGTGCTCGCGTGCCGAATGTGGGTTTTCCGCTTTTTAGAGTTTCGCTTCGTTGCACGTCGCGTGTTGGCGCGCTTATGCCTCGCGGCGCTTGCTTAGCGCTCATTGGGTGCTGACCTGAATGTGTTTATAGGGGCAGCCAATCGGAGGTCCCTGTGCGACGCTGTGGTGGCACCATCGTTTCTGATATTAGCGTTGAAGACCGGGCAAGGGGATCAAGAATGAATTTCGCGTTTCTGATTCTGATCCTACTTCGTAGGAATTCGCCCTTACTAGTCTACCATTCCAGCAAAGATCCTTGCTCAACTCTTGAAGTATCATAAGGCTGTAACATTGATTTTGGTGTTACAACTTGTTAATACTGGCTATTACTGAAGGTACTTCCAGTATTATTTTCTACTTCAAGAACTTGTGTCTGCAGATTCTATACTTAGTCTCCTGCGCCATTTTTTAATTCTTACATGGTATAAGGCTATCTGGAATAAAGAGTATCGTCAACTCTACAAATGACAGGACCATCATCAGCTCCAATAGTTGGTTCCTCAACAACTGGACCCATGGGTATTACAAATCTTACAGTTATTACAGGCCAAGCAGGTGATTCTGCAGCTGGAAATTTTCCACCTGCATATGCTTCAATTGGGATGCCTCAACAACAGCAGGGGTTGCCTACTGTGCATCCACCAGGGACTTCGTCCTCTACACGTGCAACACAGCAACAAGCTGTAAGAAAAAGGTGAACTTATAAAAGTTTATTACAGAGAAAGTACAAGGGTCTACATAGGAATGTGAGGAAAGGGAGGAAGGGAGGGTTGCTTGGGAGTTGGCCAAGATTATTGGCCCCCACCAATAATTCTGGTTGGGATTATTGGTGGTCCAAAAATTCTGGTGGGAATTACAGTGGCAGAAACAATTGTCTGTATGTTTTGCATAAATTTTGGTTTTTAGGCTTTAAGACCACTATACATTAAGCCTTAATGTTAAATTGTGGTACGATTTGGGAGGGGCACATACTGGATGTGTTCATAGCACAAATATCCAGAATAATACTTTGGATCTAACTCATATCCCGAAAGATATACAAATGGTACATCCGGACAAATAGTTCAAAGCAGGGAGGGCAAACATCAAAAGTGTGTTTCTAGTTCCTAGCCCACCGACCTTTGGCCTTGATCACCGCCCGCACCCTCATAGCCGAGCTCTCGATGAGGCTAAAGCAAACCTCAGCATGGATCTTCTCCCATTGTTCCTGGACCAACTCTTAAAGCTCTAGCATTCCAGAGGAAGGCCTTTTCTGCTTGGCCAGCTCCTTTTTCAGGTAAGCCCAGAGGTTCAAGTTTGGTGAGAAAGAAGGCCACTCCAAGGCTACATACTCATGTTCTCCAAGTCATTCATACACTAGGCATAACAAATTCTTTGAGTCATTGTCGGCACCGAGATGACCTCAGAGGGGAAAATGCTATAGAAATGGAGGTTCAATTCGAGTTCAACATGCAAAATGCCCTCATACGGGGGCTTCTCCATGCGTCCGTCAATCTTGCGTATGAACCCCACCTTCGCACATATCACACATCCCCACACCATCACCGATCCTTGTCCCCATGGTTTATCGTCTGATTGATTTGGTGGTGTTGCAGAGTTGTGCCTTTACGAATCTAGGCAAACGCGCGGCCATTGGAGCTGAAGCAGCTGATGTTGGTCCCATTTGACCAGATCACGTGCTTTCGAACACTAATTGTCCACTCAGCATGCGATTCCATGAATTGCAGTCGGCCCCTAATTATTTTCCAAAACAGTCTTGGCTTCTATGACTGGTGCACCATGACTAGACCCGCACAACCTAGTGTGTCTTTAATGGTGCAAGGGTGCACACTCAACCGTGCATCGTTACCCTCAGTTTTGTGGTGTCTACGCTAGATTTGGCCACTCTATTCGTGATATTACCATACAATGGT